ATGTCGGTGTCCGTGCTGGATAACGGATCAGCAGAACTTAACAACTTGACATTAATTTTATTACCTCTTTAAGAAAAATATCGATGTACTTCGGCTTTTGTATATCACGCGTGCGCGAGGTTTGTCACGAAAACTTTCCTATATATTCGTAGGCAAAAGAAGGAAAATTAATTATAATCGAGCAAAGTAGGACAAAGTGTCAAGACAATGAAAAACTAACAATAACAAAAGTAAAAAAAGTAAAAGATAAAAAATAAACAAACAAAAACAACAACAACAATAAGAATGATCTCGTTGATTATTTCGTTATTTATATATATGATCACTTATAGAAAAATGTAATATGCAACTTTGCACAAATTTTAATTATTATAATCGCTTACTTTAGTATTGCAATTAATTAACGATTTTTTTGAAGCTTACCTGATGTAAGCTACGCCATTATAAATAACAAATAAATAAAATATATGTAAGGTTTCATAAGTCCGTAGTAGTGATATTCTTAGTTTTATACGTAAGCTCGATTCGCTTCGATAAAGCCTGAAATAGACATAACAGTTAACAACTATTCCTTTCTCTTTTATTTTTTTATTTTTTTTTTTTTGTTTGTTTTATTTTTGTTTTTGTTTTTTGTTTTTGTTCTTGAGCACATGAATATATTCGCATGGTACAGCGCTATTTATAAGTGACACTCGATTTAACGAAAGTAAAAGCCGCCTTCCCAGAAATACGTATGATCTATTTGGTGAAGTAAGAGCATCTCGTCGTTGCGTAATTGTACACCGCAAGCTTTATTAAGCTCTCCACTCCTGTCGATGTCCTGGGAAGCTTCACGGTAATATGCGAAGACACGCGTCGTAGCTCTGATCAGTCGGTAGTGATGGCCTCTTTTACACCTGGACAAAACATTACCTCCACCTCTCGCCCCTCACACGCTCCCTACTCTCTCTCTCTCTCTCTCTCTCTCTCTCTCTCTCTCTCTCTCAATATATATATATATATATATACGTGTGTGTGTGTGTCTCTGTGTGTGTGTGTATATATATATATATATATATATATATATGTATGTCTTCTCTTTATTCTTTGATCTTCATAATCCAAGCATCGAACGACATTTATATCGAAGGCCACGGGTAATTGGCTCCTTCAAACCTTTCTTTATTTGTCGACAAAGGCTCGAGCCTCCCTTGCCCGTGTACGTCAGGTGGCCATTATTCGGGCGCCTGCTGAATCCAAAGACACTTGGCTTCGATAGGTGAAGGGGCTTCGGGACTGCCTTACCGATCGAGGAAGAACAATGAAACCAAAGCAGATATTATCGTCTCTTGGAACATTGTGCGATTTTTTTTTTACAGAAAAGCTATTAAAAGAAGAAATAAAGCACTATGATAATTTGTAATGTAGACGTGGGTTGATGATATGCGCGTCATTCTTCCTAATTCTGATTGTTTCAATTTATATTCATCCTTCGTGCTCCCTTAATTGTAGATGCGCTTCGAGAGAAGAAAATGAAAGAAAAAGAAAAAGTGAGACAGTCTGCTACACGTGCGTGCGTGTATGTGGATAGGAAGAGGATGAGAGGATTGGGGCGAGGGAGCGAGAAGAGAGCGTAATAAATTGAACATTTAACTTTTCTTAAAATATGCTGATTCGATCACTATTTACATGTGGATTAAATGATAAATCTATATTGTATCGATAATAAGAAGGGGAAAAAGAAATGTCTCCAATTTGATTGTGATGCTGATATGTGATGCGGTATTTCTGTTCTTTTCTTTTGAGAAATAATAATTATAAGCCTTGAATTGTTATTGATATTATTTGTATCAATTTTATGACACTAAATATCGTAGATGAAAATTAACTCTGTAATTTACGTATTAAACAATTTTTTAATAACTCAAATTTCAATTAATATTTACAGCGTATTGGCTGTTATTAAAGTTTTATTTTTACGAGGCCTCGTGCAAGCCCGAACATCGATTAAAATATCAATTATATTTATATTTTAAAACATTATTTTAATGTACTGTCAATTTAAAGTAAAAATACAAAGTAAATGAAATAATATTTAATAATATTGTTTTATAATTTTGCGCAAAATGATAGTGAGCTATTGCACCTAAAAAAAAAAACAATTTTAAAAGTCTATAAATGCCATTTATTATTATTAATATTATTATTACGTGTTATTATATGTTGTTCGTTTTATTAAAGATACTAAACCGAAAAAATTCAAATCATCTTATGCTAATGATACAAAACAATATTAAAGATTATAGCCAATAAATGAAAATATTTGACATTACAAATTGACAACAACATTAAGTATTTTTTATTTTATTCTTTGTTTGTAATTATTGTAAATTTACAACAATTAAATATATATGCACAAACTGATTGTATGAATAAATTAGCATACGTTATATTAAATTATATTATTTAATTATTGGAGCTTAGTCTGTAATGTTGATAAATGTATTATTAATATACAAAATATGTAATTAAATTTATGAAAAATATATAATTTTTCTGATAAACTATTATTTTATAAACTCATGTCAAATGTAATTTTTTAGTATCGGGCACAAAACATGTGCTTACAAATCATTGAATTATTGATTTTCGTAAATTACAACAATTTCCAATGCATAAAACAATGAAATTATGTAAGGAAAATACTGTTATTATAGTTCTTATTGCTTATTAAATGATTTATCATTGTTATTTTAATCAAAATTGTAACTGAATAATATTGCTCCTGCACATAAATAATATTACGATAAATAATAAATTATATTTCTAAAATGTACATTATTTCATATTATCATAATGTTTAAGAATAATTCTTAATATAATCAATTTGTTAACATTAACTTCAAATTAATGCAATTGTAAAGTAATGAGAATTTATGTGTACTCGTATATAGCATTAATATTACATTCACGACGAATTCTTATTGTTCGTGTGATTGAAAAACATAAATTTACATTTGGATTAAAAGAAAATATGAGCGCGCGCTCGCTCGCGTGTGTAGAGCGTGTGCAAGTGTGAGAGAGTTAGAAAGAGAGAGAGAGAGAGAGCGAGAGATAGAGCGAGAGAGAGAGAGAGAGAGAGAGCGAGAGAGTGAGAAAAAGATGAGAGAGAGAGAGGGGGGGGCGATGAGAATGAAGACACATTAGGATATTGAATGTATTTTGAATCGTTATCGTTTGTATTGTGAGAAACGCAGTTTAAGGAGTTCGAAAATAAAGTGAAAATAAAAACTAGACAGACGTAAACATTCGATATGTTATTATAATAAATGTTAAGAGAATCTAAGGAAAACTATGGAATATTATTGTCAGTTAATGATCGTTGCTAGGCAGCGATTCCCGCGACCATTGTAAAAGAGAGAAATGAAAACTGTTTACAAATAAATGAGGAGTAAAATAATATATTATGGGATGCGCTGCTCTTTAATTTGATCATTTTTACACCCATGATCCAATAAAAACAAAAAACAATGTAACAATTTAGACTATTAAAGTATTGGTAATTTATTTTACACTTACATAAAGACTTACACTCGTTAATAAATATTGGAAAATATATCAAAATTATAAGCAAACTTTTGTTTTATTATTAAATTCATATTAGTAACGAGAATGTCGTTTACTGATTTATAAATTCTTGAATTTGACACTACAATTAGCTTTAAAGTATTTGTTATTACATTTTATTTTAAAAATCAAATGGACACTAATGCTTTAACCATTATTATACGTATTTCAATAAAATAATTATTACTATCAACACTCGCAGACTTCGGTGATATATAAGTTTTTATACCAAAAATGACACTCGATATCCTTATTATATAATGTTTTTCGGTGCGTTAAAACAAATATACAAATTTTATAAAATCAATTGTCTGTTCATTATAAAGATATATACAATAATCGTATATTTTTGTGTTCCTTTAAATTAATCAGTTCTTTCACATTATTATTATTATTATTATTATTATTATTATTATTATTATTATTATTATTATTATTATTATTATTATTATATGAAAACAGTATTATCTATTTAAAATAATAATTCTTCTATAATACAATTTACATATCGGTGCTGTAAGTTTAAAATACTTATGAAACAAGATATTGAAATTGTACCCAATTTTAAGTTTAATAATATTGAAATTACTCCAATAATTATTCGGAAAATATTCCTTGTAGTATATAAAGGCTTTAAATCGATTAATTTAATTAGATGACATTACCAACGAGTCTATTAATAATTATCACTACTGCTTACTCCTATTATGCGAGTCTGTATTAATAATTTAAATTTTCTTGTTTAATCTATCAGAAACGCCATGAAATTTTTTTTTTCTTTTTTTTTTTCCTTTGAACGAATAAAAAATACATTATATTGAAAAAAAAAACTTAACAAGTAGTAACAACACACCAGTGCATTCCTTGATTTACTTAGTTAACAGTTGAAAAACTTTCTCAACTATATTATACTTTATTATACTCACAACTGTATTGTTAAAAATAGTAATTTCATATAAAATTTATGTACTGATTAGATGTTATTTGGTCGGTTTACCGAATCGCCTCCCCGTCTCCCCTCCCCACCCCCCTCCCATCCTATATCGATATCAATAAAGTAACTTAACTCAAGTGATATCGTTGCACTTTGTTATCAATGATATTTAAAATAAACAACAGCCAAGATGAATTTAGCCCAAGTAAATATAGATGAACAATCGCGATACCGTAGCAGTAACATTTCTTAAAATACTTAAGTATAATTCAAACTTGTATATTATAAATATAATGAAAATAATGCTTAAGTGTCATTCAACGATCAAATTTGACAAATTAAATAATCATCGTATCATGAAATCCGATTGTGAGTTAAAATTGGTGCGATATAAAATTCTTGCTAAAAAGAAAAAAAAACAGCAAATACAACAAGAAAGAAAAAAAAGAAAAATAAAAGAAAGATAAGTGGCCAATGAAGTATTAATATTTCGCACGGTTTAAGTCCTTCGAGGCGCAAGATTATTGGAAAAAGCACACATTAACATTAAAGTCATAAGTAATGAGTGGAATTGAGCCGAATAGTAACGTTTGCCCGCTTCCACTGAACCGGGATACTCGAGGAGATTGCCGAGGACGTGTCACGCTAGGAATTTCTCGAGGATCTTGATGAGGTTCTCGATGCCCTCGAGATAGTTGCTGTCGAGGTCCCCGTCATCGGCCGGAAATACGTGGGCAAAGTCGATCATGTACACTCTCACCCAGTTCTGCTTCTCCTCGCAGGTGCTACTCAGCTCGGACAGAAGAGCCGCATAGTCCTCCTTCATCTGCACGATGTCCGCGTCGAAGTTGTTGGAGTACGAGTGGGTGCGACATAGCTTATGGACTTGTACGTCCAGTGGCCTCCTGGGCGTCGCTGTCGTCTCGGCGATGCTTACAACACAAAGAGCCAGCGTTAATTTTTCACGCTACTTAGCGGGGAGAGCTTGGCTACCGTCACTATCCGCATTATCAATTGCGCCTCATTTTCCTACGTTCCTTGTCGATTCTCCCCCTTACCCAAACATCCACGTCAAACTGTAATTCTGCAATTCCCCTACCATCCATGCCACTTTCTTTATCTTTAAAAACAAATAAAAACAAACAAAAAACAAAAAACAAAAAACAAAAAAAAAACAAAAAAAAACAAAAAAAAAACGAAGCCCACCCTTAATACGGCCCGAGACTCGCGAGATTATGACTTCAACTTAACTGCACGAGACAGGAGACATAGACAAGAGATTACATTATTTCATCAAGAGACTTAACTTAATCAAAGACTTAAGTACAAGTGATTGTGGCTAACGAAGTCTGGCCAAACTCTCCATTCGAATGAATATCTCGAAGGAAATCCTCTTTCAAACGATAAAGCAGCGAAGTGTAAATGCCGATAGATCGCGGTCGTATACGTGCGACGAGAGAGACAAAAAAGCCAAGTTCACGTTGCATTTGCGCAAAGATGAGAGTCGAGAAGCACGCGACGCAAAAAAAAAATCGTCTTTAGGAATCGTGTGTAGGAACCGGAGTACCGAGAAGACTCACCTGGTGATCTCGATGCTGCTCCTCTCGGGCAGCACCTCGCAGTTCTGCAAGCTGATGCTGCGCTTGAGCCGCTGGAGCCTGTCGATCGTTCGGTTGACTCTGGGACTTCTGGTGGGTGACTCGGAGCCGGGGCCCGGACTCGCCGGACTCTGCCCGATGCGATTGAGGGAGCCGAGGCTACGGGCGGCACCGCTGCTCCTGCTACGGCTGACCGGCGCCCGGAGCAACGACTCCGCGGGACTGTCGTTGAGCTGTCGGCGGGCGAGATGTCGCAGTCGACGCGCGTCATACGCTATGAGGAGCGAGCTCGAGTAGAGCCTGTAGCGTCGCTGCTCCCGGAAGAGGGCCAGGATCTTCCAGAGAACGGAGAGGAGCCGAACGACGAGCTCGCGACATGGCGGCCGACCCGGTGTCGCGTTCAGGAACGTCGAGAGCGCTACGTAGAGAAACTCCGGCGATGCATCATCGTTATTATGTGGGTCGCGCAGCCAAGGGCTTTTGCGCCTTCGTTATTAATGGCCGGGAGCTTTCGAGATAGTGGATGGAGAGTGGGATAGAGTGGGTTGCTCGCTACCCTCCACCTTACTTCCTTAACTCCTTCTTACTCGCCTGCCCGGCCGTTACTATCCTTCCACGGTCGCTACTAAGTTGCGTGAAATGCAAATGTATTTCAAAAGGCCACGTTGGCTCGGTAAGATATATATTTTTAGTTGGGTAATTGAGTCGTCGGTGTAAGGAGGGCAGCGGAGATTCTTAGCGTCGCGGGCAATATGTAGATGAATTTGCAAAAGAGCCCGTCGCAACGTTACCAACCACCGAGTATTTATATTTATAGGCTCGGATGTTAATTATGCTCGGTCTCGCCTTATCGAGCCGAGGTGTAACGATAGGTGTTTATTTAAAAGCGAATTTTCCTTGGGAATGGCTCGAAGTTGAGGCTGAGCGGACATTGTATAATCGATCAAAGCCAATCAAAGATTGCTCGCAAAGTCTTAGAGGTTGATTTTACTGTCTTCGGTTAGGAGTCGTTCGCAATCCGTGTGAAATATAATGGCAAAAGGGCAAACGTGACAATTCCGTCGACGATACGGAAATTTCTCTTGCTTCACGCGCACTGTTGTCGGTGACGAGGGAGAAGGGTAGTGGGTGGAGGAAGGGACGGGGAATGGGAGGGGATGGGGGATTGGGGGATGGGGGGGGGGGGGGGGGGGCC